TGATGGGCTAAAACTTGTCAGGTCACAGGTACAAAACTGTGGAGAGCATGGATGAGCTCCCTTTGTCAGCTGCAGCTCCCCATGTGGGGACATGAGAGAAGCCTCTCACAAGGATGGTAAAACATCGAAATATCTAAGCGCCCTTGCAGACAGTCAGTTCTCTCACACTGCTTTTGTTGAAAACCATCCAGATTCCTCTTGGGGAGATAGAGCAGGTTACAAATAAAGGATATGCCTGCAAAACATGGACTATCTACAGACATCACATGCAACTCCTGGAACGATTCCATCAGTGTTGCCTTTGAAAAATCCTGCAAATCTCTTGGGAAGACAGGCAGACAAATGTCGTTGTTCTGGAAAAAGCAAAGACCACCAGCATTGAAGAAATGGTCCTCCGCCATCAACTCCGCTGGACCGGCCACATTGTCCGAATGCCTGATCACCATCTCCCAAAGCAGTTGCTCTACTCCAAACTCAAGAACGGAAAAGAGCATGTTGGAGGACAGGAAAAGCAATTTAAAGATGGGTTCAAAGCCAACCTTAAAAACTGTGGCATAAACACCAAGAACTGGGAAGCTCTGGCCCTGGAGTGCTCCAGCTGGAAAACAGCTGTGACCAGCAGTGCTGTAGAAGTTGAAGAGGCATGAATGGAGGGCGAAAGAGAGAAATGTGTCAAGAGGAAGGCGTGTCAAGCCACCACCGACCAGGACCGCCTTCCACCTGGAAACTGATGCTCTCACTTCAGAAGAACATGCAAGTCAAGAATAGGGCTCCACGGTCACCAACGTATCCAAGGACACTGCACTTGGAGGACAATCTTACTCAGACAACGAGGGATCACCTAAGTAAGTAAAGTAAATAAAGTATTATTATTATTATTATTATTATTATTATTATTATTATTAATTTCACATGGGGTACATCTGCATGATAGAGTTAATACAATTTGACACCACTTTAATTGCTACAGCTCTAGTCTCGTATTATGCAATTGTAGTTCATAAGGTCTTAAGCATTCTCTGTCAAAGAGTACTGGTGCCTCACCAAACTACAAACCCCATGATTCCAAAGCATTGAGTCATAGCAGTTAAAGTGGGATCAAACTGCATTAATTCTACAGTGTAGATGCATCCTTAGTGTGGAGAGGGATCAAAAGGGATAGTCTTGCACTTCCCTGTTGACTTAGACAAAAGCAAACTGGGTTGTTGTAGGTTTTTCGGGCTATATGGCAGTAGTCTATCTAGGATAGACTACTGCAATGCACGCTACGTGAGGTTGCCTTTGAAGACTGCTTGGAAGCTTCAACTAGTCCAACGAGAGGCAGCCAGGTTAATAACTTGGGCAGCATACAGGGAGCATACAACTCCCATGTTACACCAGCTCCACTGGCTGCCAGTTTGCTACTGGGCACAATTCAAAGTGCTGGCTTTGGCCTATAAAGCCCTAAACGGTCCCGGCCCAAATTACCTGTCCGAACGCATCTCCCCCTATGAACCATCGCGGAGATTAAGATCCTCCGGGGAGGCCCTGCTTTCCGTCCCGCCATTGTCACAGGCACAATTGGTGGGGACAAGAGGCAGGGCCTTCTCGGTGATTGCTCCCTGGCTATGGAACTCCCTTCCTGGTGAGATCAGGTCGGCCCCCTCGCTCCTGTCCTTTAGAAGGATGGTAAAAACTTGGCTGTTTCAGGACAGGGAAAAAAAGCAGCAATAGGAAAGATTACCAAGCTAATTAGATTTGATGTGGATGACTAGGATGGTTTTAAATGGTGTATTTTAATATTTTGATAAATGTTTTTTAATGTTTATGTATTGTATGTGAATCTGTGTCCCGACATTGAATGTTTGCTGTGTATATGCTGTGCTCTGCCCTGTGTCCCCTTCGGTGTGAGAAGGGCGGAATAGAAATGTGTTAAATAAATAAATAAATGTCCTAGAAGCATTCTCTCCTGACGTTTCGCCTGCATTTGTGGCAGGCATCCTTCTAAAACATGGCCATACAGCCCGAAAAACCTACAACAACCCAGTGATTCTGGCCATGAAAGCCTCCGATAATAAAAAGCAAATTCCTTCATTTGCATTCATCGTTAATAACATTTGCCATCTTAACCCACAGATTGAGGTTGCTTGGCCACAAATGTGTCTGTCTTCATCCGAAAAGTGATGGAGGATATGCTGCCCCAGGCATTTTTTAAAAGCTGCAGCAATATTAAGCTTTCTGAATCAGAAGGAAGGGCAGATTAAGCATTTCCAGAAGCTTCTGTCTCTACCCTCGACTCACTGGCACTTTCTGCTAGCAACAAGATCCATCGGAAATGTAAGGAAAGAGTCCAACAATAGTTTTCACTGGGTGCTTGCTAAGTAATTTTCCCCGCTATCTCAATGGCTGTGTCAGGATTGGCCGAAATATATCTAGTGGTCGCCTGTGATTTGCTCTCAGGTTCTTGTATGCTGTTGCTGCATGGATTTTCCAAACCGGCTATAAATGGTAAGATGTGTATTTGCATCAGTGCCAGATTTGCTCCGTTTGAGTGCTGGGAGCCTGGATTGGCATGTTATTAAATGCGCCGCTGCCTTCCGTTTTTGAACGCCTTTATTCTTGAACTTGAAGTGGGACATGTTTCCCTTTCAAATCCCCGAAAACCCACTTCTGAAAGAGGATTAAGCTGCCAGACTTCCTTCTCATTGTCCCCCAGTAACAGTTAAACTCAAGGGCTAAAGTTTGGAACCAGAGGCAATGTGTCCATAGATTCAGCATCCATGAGTTCCACCATGAAAAAGGTCACAAAAGAAAACCTAAATTTTACCATTTTATATAATGGACACCACTTTATTATGGCATTATATATCATGGGGATTGACCATCAATACGTTTTGGTATCTAAGGTGGTCCTGGAACCAAACCCCCGCAGGTACCTTCCCACCTGCTACTAAGGAGGCTGTTCAGGTCCTGAACCGGTGCCAAAGGCCGCTGTGACGGTCTGGATGAGGGCTAACAAATTGAAATTGAATCCAGACAAGACAGAGGTATTCCTGGTCAGTCATAAGGCCAAACAGGGCATAGGGTTACAGCCTGTGTTGTATGGGGTCACACTCCCCCTGAAGACGCAGGTTCGCAGTCTGGGTGTGATCCTGGACGCATCGCTGAGCTTGGAATCCCACGTTTTGACAGTGACTAGGTGAGCATTTGTACAGTTAAAGCTTGTGCGCCAGCTGCGCCCATACCTTGGGAAGTCTGATTTGGCCATGGTAGTCCACACTCTGGTTACATCCCATATAGACTACTGCAACACTCTCTATATGGGGTTGCCTTTGAAGACTGTCTGGGAGCTTCAACTGGTCCAACGGATGGCAGCCAAGTTACTACTGCAACACTCTCTACATGGGGTTCCCTTTGAAGACTGTCTGGAAGCTTCAACTGGTCCAATGGACGGCAGCCAGGTTACTAACAGGAGTGGCGCTCAGGGAGCGTACAACCCCTCTGTTGTGCCAGCTCCACTGGCTGCCAGTCTGCTACCGGGCACAATTCAAAGTGGTGCCTTTAGCCTATAAGCCCCTAAACAGTTCTCGCCTACTATATATATATATCCTTTAACTTTAGGCGATCCCTCATCTGAGTAGGATTGTCCTCCAAGATCAGTGTCCTAGCGGTGGGTCCGTAGGTGACTGTGGAGCCCTATTCTTGATCTGCATGTTCTCCCGCAGAGAGGGCATTGGTTTCCAGGTGGAAGGCGGTCCCAGTCAGGATTGGCTTGACGCGCCTTCCTCTTGGCATGTTTCTCTCTTTCATCCTCCATTCGTGCCTCTTCAAATTCTGCAGCACTGCTGGTCACAGCTGACCTCCAGCTGGAGCGGTCAAGGGCCAGGGCTTCCCAGTTCTCAGTGTAATTGCCACAGTTTCTAAGGTTGGCTTTGAGTCCATCTTTAAATTTCTTTTCCTGTCCACCAACATTATGTTTCCTTTTCTTGAGTTGGGCGTAGATAGTCTGTACATAGTCCACATCTCTCAGGCATATAGCAGGGTTGTGAGGACAATAGCTTCTGGTGGAGATTGTGACAGGAAAGCCTCGTTGAGAGGGAGCTCTCAGGGAGGACCTGTGTTGTGGTGGCGAGGTTGAGCTTTGGCTCCCCACCTTCTGCCGGATTGAAGGCGAAGGTGATCGCAAATCTCCTAGGCAACTCGAAGACCCCAAGAGGCCGCCTTCACTCAAGGAGGGGAGTCCGAGTGGGTCCGAGCGCTGCCAAAAGGGGAGCGAGCCGCTCCGTAAGGATCGGGCTCGAAGAGCCCGTTTAACCGCTTCCACTCCATTTCACTTCAATAAGAAATTAATAAGAAGAATGTTTCCTTTTCTTGAGCTGGGAGTAGATAGCCTGTACATAGTCCACGTCTCTCAGGCATATAGCAGGGTTGGGAGGACAATAGCTTTATAAACAAGCACCTTGGTATCCCTACAGATGTCCCGGTCCTCAAACACTCTCTGCTTCATTTGGAAAAATGCTGCACTCGCAGAGCTCAGGCGGTGTTGTATTTCAGTATCAATGTTGACTTTTGTGGAGAGGTGGCTGCCAAGGTAGCGGAAATGGTCAACATTTTCTAATGTTACACCATTAAGCTGTATTTCTGGCATTGGAGAGGCTGGTGACTGCTGGAAGAGCACTTTGGTTTTCTCAATGTTCAGTGACAGGCCAAGCTTCTGGCATGCTCCTGCAAAAGTGTTTAGAGTGGCTTGTAGGTCTTCTTCTAAATGTGCACAATATACGTTGTCATCAGCATATTGGAGTTCTATAACAGATGTTGTTGTAACCTTGGTATTTAAATATATATATTTAAAAAGCACTCCCGATTCTATGACACACTATTTTCAGAGATATATTGAGAAAAAAGTGTCTTAGAACTGAAGAAGTGCCGTATTTCAATGAGTACGCACACGCTACTGCTTGCATGCGCACATTTCCCATCCCTGCCTCCATCCAGCGTTAAAGAAGAGCCTGGGAGACAACTGGCCATGAAAATGACTTTATTTTTACAATCCCTTTTTCCTTTGTACATGATATGAAGCAGCCAAATCCTACCCAACCTCAGGGAAAGGGGGGGAAAGCAGCAGCATGTGGGACAGAGGAATGAAGGCAGATACAACGCTAGGCTTTTCTTTCTCCTCAAAGTGTTAAAGGGGGGCTTTGTGGTTATTTTCACAGGACCCCCTTTTTTCTAAGAAATACTGAAGAAGGGTGGATAAATGAACAAAAATATTTCCCTTCTCACATGCACAAGTGCACCCCCCCCCCCAACATGAACAGTCAGAAAAGCATCACATGCAGGGCCCACAGTCCCCATCCGCACATGAATTTAGTGTTCACTGCACTAAAAGATGGCTCTGCAGGCTACGGCGTGCTGGGAGAGGGTTGCCTTCCTCTAAATATGGGAGCCCAAGAGCAACACAAGCAGGCAGGACGCAGCAGGGCAGGGTCACCGATGTGTCCAGAAGCCAGTCTTCTTCTTGACCACCCTGGGCAAGGGAAGCGGAGAGGAGATGCCCTCCAGCGCTTCAGGCCTCCTGCTGCTCCTGGAGAGATTAGGAACAGAACCATATGAAATCAGAAAGATGGGAGATTTAAATGTAAGAGGAACTGTGCATGTTGCAAGGCTGTGGGCCCATCTCCACTGACCATTTAATGCAGTTTGCAGCTACCTTCAAATTGCAGCAGCTACAGAATGAATGGCCACAAAAGCATGCCCCAATGCAGGCATGGGCGAACTTCAGCCTTCCTGGTGTTTTGGACTTCAACTCCCACAATTCTTAACAGCCGGTAGGAATTTTCAGGATTAATTTAGTTATGTATGTGTTTTAAATGTGCTTCTATATATTGCCAAGATGGATGCCAGTGTGAATTAGAAATGCTGTGCAGAATGTTTATGCTATGAGGCTGTGATTAAGTGAACTTGAGAAAAGTAAGATAAGGTTTGCTCTTGCTGGGAACAGAAGGGAGTAACCAGTCACAGCAAGAAAAGATAAGCAGATGAGAAGAGGCTTTCGTTTTGACTAGTTCCTGAATTGTAGCTCGCTGTAGTAAGACGTGTCTGTTGAATGTGCTTAGTAAACTTAGTTTCTTTTGTAACTCAAAGCCTGCAGAGTCCTTATTTTACAACTCAGTGTCTGCTGATCTAGCATTCCTTCCGCTGGGCATCGTCTGACTCTGACAGGAATTTTGGCATCTCGTTCAGATGCATACTTAAAGACTTTGGGCTATGGACTATTGATTAAGAATGATGTCCTGTGTTCTCAATACAGAGAAACTACATCCTATCTATAACTGAACTTTAATAAAAAATGTGTATGTATACCGAATTAATATGAGTAAACAGGATAGATAATGAAAGCAAAAAGGTTTTCCCTTGACATTAAGTCCAGTCGTGTCCAACTCTGGGGGTTGGTGCTCATCTCCATTTCTAAGCCGAAGAGCCGCCATTGTCCATAGACACCTCCAAGGTCATACGTACTTAGTACTAACCTTTTTTATACTGGTTTTAAACCACTTCATTGGATGTGTTGCAATAGCAGATTCCCAGATTAGTTTAGTGTTTACACCTTATTTTATTTTTCTGGTTATTTAATATTTAATGTTTATTTTACTTAAGTAATACTTGTCTTTACTGTTCTAATGTAGCTCAAATCCTATGTAAAATCATACTACGTATTTTTGACATTAATATTGAAATCTGAAATATATACTGAAAGTCTTTACTTTCTGTATATATTTACATTATATTTACATGACTGCATGGAGTGTCATTACCTTCCCGTCAGAGCAGTACCTATTGATCTACTCATATTTGCATGTTTTCAAACTGCTAGGTTGGCAGAAGCTGGGGCTGACAGTGGAAGCTCACGCTGCTCGAATTCGCACCTGTGACCTTTCAATCAACAAGCTCAGTGGTTTAACCCACTGCGCCACTGGGGGCTACAACAAGATATGTTCCTTTTTTAAAGAAGACTTTGTTTTTTGTTCTCTGAGTGCATATTTTCAAAACTAAAAGGTTTCAAGGGAAGATATATGTTTTGGGCAATTGCAATTTCAACTTCAAAGAAATATTTTAAAACTCTGTTAGCTAAGTATGTGTATTTTTATGCAGTGGCATGTCTTTGTCCCTCACAGTTCAAAGACATAGTTTATCAGTTTAACAGCTGAGTTACCTGTGTGCCATTATAATAATGCTTGTGAACATCACTTGTTCAAAAGGCTGACTTCCAACAATGTCATGCCTTTCCTTGATTAGTGGCTTTCAAAAAGTGATCTCCAGATGTACTTCACATTTGCCAAAAGGATATGAGATCGCTTTTATTTTCAAAAAGTTGTGAATGCCATTTTTCCAAAACTAACCACCACCCAAAACCTTTCAAGTCAAAGAATTTCTGTAGCGCAAAAGAATCACGAAAGCACCAGCCCTGGAGTGCCAGCAGAGAGCAGCACTGCCCTTCTTTCAACCACAGGCATAGTTTGTTTTCTCTGTAAATATGAACATATAGTCGACATTCATAAATTACATGATGCACGCATCTGTCTTACAAAAGTCCCACTCCCTGAGTATTCGGGATTTTTTGGCATCTCATTCAGTTTATATAAAAGCAAATGCTTTCCAATATATAAATAGTGGGCAATCCTTATAATAAGGGATATGTTTGAGGGCCTTGGCCTTTGTAAGCTGCACCGAGTCCTTCAGGAGATGTTAGCAGGGTACAAATAAAATTAATAATAATAATAATAATAATAATAATAATAATAATAATAATGATAATAATAATGATAATGATAATAATATGTTCAAGCCCTCAAAGCAGGGGCATCTCTTAAAAGCAAGGACACTCAGCAACCTTGGGCTCAGTCTTTGCGATATATGGGGGATGAAGGGGAAAAGTCATTTTGGACAGGATGAATTCTGATGGAGGAGAAATGCTTTCTTTAAACAATAGATTTGCAGGATGTGAGGGTGGCAATGAGCCTAAACTTTGGCCCTCCAGGTGTTTTGAGCCAAAATTTGTCCATGCCTGGTCTAAAGGGAAGGGAGATGGAAGCACTTTTGGGGGAAAAGGGGGAATTCTGGGGAAAACAAAAACATGTCCAGAGAAAACATCAGCCACCCCCCTGTCTTGTTAATGTGAAGGAATTGCTGACAGTGATCTTTACCTTCCTAGACAGACACAGAGAAATGTGTTGGGCGAGTGGGCTTATTAACAAAAGACGCTCCCCATAAATGTACAGCAGAGTAACTTATCAGCAGCAGCCATACCCAGCACCAGTTGCCAAAAGTAATAAAAAGAACAAAAACACACAGGCCAATGTTATCTCTTCCATAGGAGGCTTTTCTTTATAGCAAAACAATATGGCTGAACTATTTACAAGAACAAAGTTTCCATAACACAAATAAAGTTCTTTATACTTCCTTCTTTGCTTCCATGCTGGGCTTCTTTCTTATGCAGATAAGCAGCTTTGCTCTCACAGAGCCTCTTCTCACACCAAACTTACACAGGAACTTCACACAGTAGCTTTACACACAGCAACCTTCACATATGAGGCTTTACAACCTGGGGCTTCCCTCACCGAAGCTTCTCACACCAGGTCTACCTCACACTGTGAGACCTCTCACAGAACAAGGCCTTTCTCACAGTATGAGGCCTTCTCTCACAGACTAAGGCCTACCTCACACTGTGAGGCCTTCTCACAGACTAAGGCAGTAGTTCTCAACCTGGGGTCCCCAGGTGTTTTGGCCTACAACTCCCAGAAATCCCAGCCAGTTTACCAGCTGTTAGGATTTCTGGGAGTTGAAGGCCAAAAACATCTGGGGACCCCAGGTTGAGAACCACTGGACTAAGGCCTACCTCACACTGTGAGGCCTTTCTCCCACTGAGGTTTACCTCAGACTGACTGCTACTAAGCTACAGGCACACCTACTTATATAGAACTGCAGGTTTTGCGGAGTCATTGCATCAATTTAACGTTTTCAGTGCTTGACCCACATTTTTGTAATAAAAATACCTACCGTATATATACTTTGGCTTATACTCGAGTCAATGTTATTTATTATTTTACTGGGTTATTATTATTATTATTACATTTATTATTTTACTCTATTTACTTTTAATATTACATTTACATTATTTTGCTCTATTTACATTTATTATTTTACTCTATTATTACTGTTATCATTACATTTCCATTATTTTACTATTATTATTATTATATTTATTATATTTATTATTATATTTATTATTTTACTCTATTTATTATTATTGGAAGGATGCATATGCACATTTACATTGAAAAAGGCTATAATAATGTTTAATCAGAATTGGATAGTCTTATCTTAAATTACAGTTTTATGTAAATATACAAATATACATTTAACCTAGTCAATTAATGTAATTTTATTGGTATCTAATTTTATTTTGGAATTTGCCAGTTGCTGCTGCATTTTCCACCCTGGCTTATATTCAAGTTAATACGCTAAACTTTTTTTGTGCTAAAATTAGGTGCCTTGGCTTATATTCAGGTCGGAGGATATAGGGCAGTTAATTTTTAACATTTCTGAAAAAATGGACAAGCATGTGAGGAATGGCTGTAAAACACAGAAAGAGAGGGAGAGAACCAGTTCTCTGAGCTGCAACAGATTTGCAGGAATGTCCAAACGGAGAAAATAGCATCCAGGAGGAAGAGAGGAGGACTGGCCAGCCAATAAGGCAATCTAGTTAACATAAAGGGGTAGAAAAGAAAGAGTAGTGCAAAGAGATGCATCTGGCACTGTCGCCATCATGATGGGAAAGTGACATCTTAGAGGCGCTCACCTTCTGGATGTCAGCAATCTCTCCCTCAACGGGCACAGTAGCCAAGGTCCCTGTCGCAGCTCCTAGGAAGACAAGATGAATGTCAGAGTCAAGGAAGAATGGCCCATGAAGTGGAGGCTCAATAGTCCAGTCAAACTGCCTGCCAAACCTCCTGTCCCTTACCATTGTCATCTTGATTGTCTGGTTCCTTCTGCATGGAGTGTTTGTTCAGATTGTCTACTTCTGGCTCCTTGCTCATCTCCGCTGCTGGGGCTCCGGGTGCAGGAGGTGCCTCTTTTTCCAACACCCCTGCAGTGGACTGTTGGGATCCTGATCCAGATGGAGAGTCAGTGGAAGCTGGCCCTAAAGGAAGAGTAGGACAGGAGTAACACTTGAAGTCAACTTTTACAAGAAGAATGGTCAGAGACATAAAGGACTGTCATAGGGAGAGCAACCAAATTTGGGAGAAACACTCTCATTATTATGTTTATTTATGTTGGAGCATGTAAGAAATCAGTTAATGTGTGTGTGTGTTAATGTGTGGAGCCCCTGATGACGCAGTGGGTTAAACCCCTGTGTTGGCAGGACTGAAGACTGACAGGTCGCAGGTTCGAATCCGGGGAGAGGTGGATGAGCTCCCTCTATCAGCTCCAGCTCCTCATGTGGGGACACGAGAGAAGCCTCCCACAAGGATGATAAAAACATCAAATCATCCGGGCGTCCTTGCAGACGGCCAAGTCTCTCACACCAGAAGCGACTTGCAGTTTCTCAAGTCGCTCCTGACATGACAAAAAAAACCCTGTAAAATAAGATGCAAGAAGCTGATTGGTCGGGCTATGTCCAGGGAACTGGCTGAGCCTGGGACTTTTGGTTACAGTTACATTTTTCAGGCTTGAGCTATGCAGGTGCTTGCACAAAGAAGCAGAGAGAGACAGAGTTTGGAGTGTGCTCTTGCTTCATGAGCTTCTGAAGGAGATTATCCACATGGACAAAGAAAGACCATATAAAAATCTCTCATAAAAGGAAATTATGTGAGTTGATACAACTGATCACATTATTGTAAATATGTTGTTCTAAATTACGAAGAGTAAACTATTTGTTCTTTACTGTTCATCTGCGTGGTATGTTTTCTTTCTCTGGCAAGGCAGTGTGTGGGCTGATCAAATGTGAACTACGCATGATTGTCATTTCATCACAATTTATATTCTGCTTTTTCTCTCCACAAGAGAGATTCAAAGCAGAGAAAGGCCCCTCCTACACTGCCATATGAAATCCAGATTATATGGTTTGAACCGGATTATATGAGTTTACCATATAATCCAGTTCAAGGCAAATAATCTGGATTTTGCATAGCAGTGTAGAAGGGGCCTAAGACGCAAGCAGAAGCCAAGACAAATGTTATAGCCCTGAAGGGATGTGAATCCACACCCTCCCCAAATAAACTGCAATACTGTAAGGTGTCATTCTCAGGGAAAGTGATAAGTATCAAGAAAGAAATAGATAGATACCATCCAATGTTAGAAGACAACAAGATTTTTGGGTTGTGTGGGCCGGGCTGTAGCACAGCTGGTTAATCGCCAGCATCAATAGATCACTGTCGACTGGAAGGTGGCAAGTTCAAAGTCTGAGTCAGATTGAGCTTCCAACTGTTAAGTCTAGCTTACTGTCCACCTAAGCAGTTGGAAAATAGCTGAGCTCTGAGTAGAGAAATTAGCTACTGCTTAAAGCAGGACGGTATTTTATGACACGATAAAAATTTTGGCAATCAAAGAACAAGGAGGAAATACTGTCAAAATGACTTGGCGTCATAGTGGATGAAGTGACAGCACCCCCTGTGAGCATAACCTCCAGGCGCCGAAGTTGGAAATGCCAAAAATACTTCTATCTGTCTTGTATGTCCAAAAATGGCATTGAATGTTTGCCATGCATGTGTGAATTGTGATCCACCCTGAGTCCCCTTCGGGGTGAGTAGGGTGGAATATAAACACTGTAAATAAATAAATAAATAAATAATAAAATTTAAGTTTGGTGCCTACTCCAAATTTGAACTCAGAGCCCGCAGACACACCCACCCAGCATACTCTGCCCTCCCCTTTGCACTTTACCAGCACTGGCGGAAGGATCCTCTCCGGATGGAGCCAGAGGACTCTTGGTGAGGTTCGCTCGGGGTGAGCTCAGCTCCATCTCTTCGCCCCAGTCAGACACAGGGTGATACCCCTCTGCCGGTGAAAATGGAGTCAAGGGCTTTCCTTCTGTGTTTGGAGTCTCCTCCTCTTCCAGAGGCGGAGGCATGGCTAGGGACAGTTGCCCATTCTTCCCAGGAGGTTGGGAAGAGCTGGTGGAAGGAGGCAGTGATGATGGCTCCTGATACTCTTTCTCCACCTCTTCAGCATCCAAGCCTTGGCTGTTGTTGCTCCCGGCTTCACCATCCTCTTCCTCCTCCTCTTCCTCCCCACCACTGACATCTTCCCACTGATCTTCCTCTTCCCCTTCCACCATTTCCTCTTCCAGAACTACCTGGGGAGAGGAAGGTTTCTCCACCTGCTGGATAAATCCAAAAATAAACAATGGTAATAGAGAAAAGAACTGCCACCACGGCTTGACTTCTTCAGCTCAGAATGGCACGTACATCATCTTAAAAGCTAGGTATGTTTAGACTGCAGAAGAGAAGATTGAGAGGAGACATGAAAGCCATGTATAAATATGTGAAAAGCTGTCACAAGGAAGAGGGAGCAGGCTTGTTTTCTGCTGCCCTGAAAACTAGGACTCTGAGCAATTGGCTTCAAACTACAAGAAAGGAGATTCCATCTGAACATGAGGAAGAACTTCATGACTGTGAGAGCCGTTCAGCAGTGGAACTCTCTGCCCCAGAGTGTGGTGGAGGCTCCTTCTTTGGAAGCTTTTAAACAGAGGCTGGATGGCCATCTGTCAGGGGTGATTTGAATGTTTCCTGCTTCTTGGCAGGGGGTTGGACTGGATGGCCCATGAGGTCTCTTCCAACTCTATGATTCTATGGAGTCCCGTTTTGTGGAACCCTATCAACTCTATGATATGATTCTATAACCAAAAATCCCACAGACAGTCTCAAATTCTCACAAAGTAATTATGGATAATCTCAGACTTTTGTAAGCCCCTCACCTTCTGCACAGTGTCAACGGCTGACTTTTCCTCCACCTGCTCTGGTGGCGTGGCTTGGTCTGGCTCTTCCTTCTCCCAGCGATTGTCATGCATGCTGCATGAAAAGTAAAAGGTAAAGGTTTCCCCTTGACATTAAGTCTAGTCGTGCCCAACTCTGGGGGGGGGGGGGGGTGCTTAACTTCATTTCTAAGCCAAATAACCAGCATTGTCCATAGATGCCTCCAAAGTGGCCGACATGACTGCATGGATTGACGTTACCTTCTCACGGGAGTGGTACCTATTGATCTACTTGCATTTGCATGTTTTCGAACTACTAGGTTGGCATAAGCTGGGGCTAACAGCGGGAGCTCACCCTGCTCCCTGGAGTCAAACCGCTGACCTTTTGGTCCATAAGTTCAGTAGCCCAGCGTACAAGGGAAAGCCCAAACTGCCTCAGCAAGGACTATCCATACTCCAACCCTAGAAGCAAGCAAGAAAGCCTCTTCCTTAACCCCTCATCTGGGCCCACCCCAAACAAGAGCTAAAATAAAAACAAAACAGTGTCCAATGCAGATCTAGAGCTAGTGCTATAATAAAATAATAATAAAACTTTATTTATATTCCATCACCATCTCCCCGAAGGGAGCACATCTCGGAAGTACAACACACATAAAATACACAAGTACATAGGCATATAAAAAGTGCTGCCTACCAAGATCTGCCAGGGCCTCACCTGTAGGGTTTGGAGGGACCACTGCCCCGTGGGCGCCCACGGCCCCTTCCTCTGCCTCTCCTGCGCCGATCTGGTTGCTGCTCAGACAGGAACTCCCCAAATGTAGGCAGTTTTGGGGGTCTCTTGGACTCACCTAGAAGAGACAAAGGGAAGGGGTTGGAGCCAGGGCTGCCAGACACTGCCTATAATCACATTTTGGCTTGCAAGCTCTTAGGGACCCCACTGAAGACGAACCAAATTCCGCATCAAGGTTCCTCAAAAGCCGTTGGGTGTCACCCTCAATTCAAGAACATAATCCACCATCTTGATGTCTACAAATCAATGTCTCATCCTCCATCCTTGCTCCTAATTCAAAGGAGTTGTTGTGATTTAGCCAGCTGATGACGATGAGGGGACTGTTATTCCATGGACTGGGAGAGTGGATGGGTTTTCCAGTGCGGGAAATGAGAGGAGTTTAGATCCTGTGTGCAAGAATGGGCTTAAAAGTGAAACTGCCTCTGAGTCCAGCAGTCAGGGAAATGCTTTTCGCTTAGTCGTCTCATAGCAACTCCAGATAAGGAGTTGGATGGGGAAGCAAGTTCATTTGAAAACACATCTGCGGTCAGCAGAAATCTCAGGTTTCATTTTAAAGAAGAATCAAGCAAATTAAGAAAGTATCAGAGACTCCGTGAGAAACAGCAACATGAGAAATCTCACAGGCAAGGCAGTCAAAGTCACAGGCATGACTTCATGTCTTTAAACCTCAAATCAGATAATAGTTTCATTGAAAATTCAGATCAGGCAACACTGCAAAGTAGTGATGATCTCAATCCTTGTTTTCAGTTCATGTTTTGAGTCTAAGATCTTGGGAGTTTGGATTCATGTCTTAAGATGTTTCTATAGTCTTGCTTTTGGATTCATGTTCATGCATTAATTCTTGTTTTTCTGGATTTATGCTCAAGTTTGATTCTGGTTTTCCTGTACTTTATTTTATGGAACAGATTTAGACACTTTGGATTATTACCTTTGGAGTGTTTTTTTTTCTATTGCCAGTTTGGTTTGACTTAGAACTTGTTGATTCTTTTTCTCATTAAATATTGGATTTGCCTTTCTTATTTCTTATGAGGATATTTCCTTTATATATATACTTTTCTCAATAAACTATTTTTGTACTACTTTTGCATTCCCTGCTGGTGTTGAGTGCAAGGTGAATCCTGGCTGGAGTGCAACAGGAGTATTGTATCCCCTTACCATCCATGTTGCAATAGGGACAAGTTGCCCTCTAAGAGGTGAGGGGACAGAGGGGTCCTTACCATGCTTACCACCTCCAGAGCCTCCAGAACCTCCAGAGCCTCCAGAGCTTCCAGGCTTGCTGCCTTCTTTAAACCTGGGAAGGGTGAAAGGAACAAAAATGAGGATATGGCAGAAAACCTCTTCCAGCACCTCCTCTTCTTCGAAGATTTCAATAGATCAACTTCCACGATCCCTCAGTATACATACACACATACCTCTCCCACACTCCTCTAAATACACAGACTAAGTAAATACTTAAATCCCTCAGTATACATGAATACATACCTCACCTACACTCTTCCAAATAACAAACTCAGTAAATACTTAAAGCCATGGCAGTGCTGTGTGCAGCAATTCTCAGATCACTCTTTCTGCCTCATTAAATGTGTTGCCCAAACTAGAAACTCTACAAAACTCTACAACACTGGGCTTCTATTACGGATCAACATTTGTGTTGTAGTTCAGCCCATGGTTGTGGCTGATACCGATGTAAATGTGAAAGTGGGTCATGGGAACTCTGGGCCTGCGAGCCAACATGAGATTTTAAGTCCTGAAAATAATCAGTTCTTGTGTCCAGCAGTTAGTGAATGTCATATTCCAGAGAGGTGTTGAGATGGTGCAGAAGAGTTGTTCTCTAGGAAAACGAGTTCAGAGACTGAAATCTCAGGTGGAGAGAATAATGAGTTGCAAGATAATGAGATAGATTTTGTGCTGCCTAACAGAATCTCTGAAGGTCATGGTGCTTGTTAGAGAAGAGACCCGTGTCACGAACTCATGGGAGAGGGCATGATGTCATGTGTGTATTAAAGAGGCCGGGGGGATTTTCCAGCCAGTCTCATCAACTTTGGTAATTGAGGCGACAGCTCTTGCCAAGTCCTAGTCAAGCCTTCTGAGGGAATTTTAGTCCCATGTCTTTGTAGCTTACATTCTTGATAAATCCGAATGTATCTAGTTTCCCTTCTTTTTTAGCTGTTTCAAAACTACTATTCTGGCTGTTATCTAGTAAACCCCATCAAATTAATGATTTGAGTTATTTGGTTTCCAGGCTGTATGACTGTGTTCTAGCAGAACTTTCTCCTGATAAAGATCCTCTGAAGATGTCAGCCACAGATGCAGGTGAAACATCAGAAGAAGATGCTCCTAGAACATGGCCATACAGCCTGGAAACCACACAACGCTCCAATGATTCCAACTGTGATAGCTGTCAACAATACACTGAATTAATGATTAAATGGTGAACAAAACACATAGACAAACCTAACTAAAAATAGGGTTGAGCTACTTGTGTGTAATTGCACATGCACAAATCTATTCTGCATCTAAGAGAGCTGGTGGATCCTCCAGGGTTTTGGTCTGATTCATTAAGCAGTAGAAGCCTACCACTTCAGATAACTGCTTAATGCAGTGGTTCTCAACCTGTGGGTCCCCAGGTGTTTTGGCCTATAACTCCAGAAATCCCAGCCAGTTTACCAGTTGTCAGGATTTCTGGGAGTTGAAGGCCAAAACATCTGGGGACCCACAGGATGAGAACCACTGGCTTAATGAAATGGACTAAAGCCTGGAGGGGATTCACCGTCCCACCGGCATGGGAACCACCACTTGCACCACTGCTCGTATAACCCATGAACAGAGGTCTGTTGTGGGTATCTACCTACAACACAATCACCTGAGGCCACATCTCCCACATGCATATACTATGTTCCTGGCACTTACACTGCATCTATCTTCTCTGCATCCCATTCTCGGCGCCACTCGCCCGTAGGTTGGCGATGCCGTGCCAAGCGCTCCTGGTCAATCTGTTCTCGCTCTTGCTTCCAGCGGATATATTCTGCACGCTCACGGCCCGTCATGGAGAGCGTCATATCCATAGATGCTGCAGGTGGTGGCCCTCCTCTGCGTCGGGAACCGCCGCGACCCTAACGGGAAAGAGAGGGTAGACCCAAAGGTGGGTATCTGTCAGCTTCAGTGGAAAGTGCAGACTCAAGAACCACAAGAGATGCGTATGTGAGCATGCAAAGGCTTAACAGGGCAGGCCCTTCGTGCAACCCCAGAAAGCTATTACTTCATTGTTTTTCCCAAATTTCAAGCCACTATGGTCAGGGAAATTTGTTCGGGAAGAAAATTTATTTTATTTATTTATTTATTTAGGAGGTTTTTATGCCAGGAAGGGGAAAAAAACCCTAGTTATTAAAACCCACACCATTGTAAATTATAAAATGTTGAAATGGTACTTTATAAAAGGGAGCAGATATATAACATCACTGAAACATACACAAGAAGAGCCAGAAATGTGACAACCAATGCGCAATATATCCCAATACACAATGAGAACCCTTATAAAGTAAACTGGGTTGGGGTGAATTTTCCAGGCTGTATGGCCATGTTCCAGAAGCATTCTCTCCTGACATTTCACCCACATCTTGGCAGGCATCCTCAGAGGTTGTGAGGTCTGTTGGAAACTAGGCAAATGAGGCTTATATATCTGTGGAATGTCCAGAGTGGGAGAAAGAACTCTTGTCTGCTTGACGTAAGTGTGAATGTTGCAACTGGCTACCTTGATTAGCACTGAAAAGCCTTGCAGTTTCAAAGCCTAGCTGCTTCCTGCCTGGGGAGAATTCTTTGTTGGGATGTTAGCTGGCTCTGATTGTTTCATGTCTGTAATTCCCCAGTTTTCTGAGTGTTGTTCTTTATTTACTATCCTGATTTTAGAGTTTTTTAAAATACTAGTAGCCAGATTTTGTTCATTTTCATGGTTTCCTCCTTTCTGTTGAAATTGTCCACATGCTTGTGGGTTTCAATGGCTTCTCTGTGTAGTCTGACATGGTGGTTGTGAGAGTGGTCCAGCATTTCTGTATTCTCAAATAAATAAAAATTAAATAATATATATGATATAATTAGAATATATAATAATATAATATTTAGTAATATATATAAAGGAATATATATATATAAAGGAAAATTAAATTATATATATATGATATAATTGGAATATATACTAATTTTAATATCATATAATAATATATAACAGTCCCCCCTGGGGTGCCAGAAAAAAAAAACCCTAGTGATCTTAGTTTTAAAATTTCCTATGGGAAAATTCTTGAGGCCTTTATAGGCTCTAAAGATATGTTTTACCAAATTCTCTCTAGGCAGTTTTCAGGGGGCTTCTCCGAAAAAAACTACAAACAAATCCAAAGTTTACATTAAGGAAGAAGCTCCAGCAAAGTAAAGAGTAGATTGTATGATGGGGAAAATGAGACCAAAACCCACAAAAATGCCTTCCCGTAAATTTCAAGCTTGAAACGGTTTTCTATAACATCCAAACATACACATTCACGCCAAAACATTATAAGCCATAACAGAAGGAATGGCCATTTCATTTTGGCCGCTGCTTTCTTATGCCGTCTTGGACTTGTTCAAAAAACGGGGCCTTCCCAATTGACGGATGTGGGCCGGCGACTCCCTTCCCGTTCGGGTTCTGTTGGGCAAAACGGGGAGCCAACGCGTTCGCGGGAAATTTCTAGGAAAAAGTTTGACGGGGACCGTGGATTTCTTACTGCGGGCCCCAATCTGCTGAAAAAAGCAGAAGGTCAAATTGGTCACAGTTCAGGGCAGGAAGGACAGAAGGAAGCAGGAAAACTTCAGGGTATGGATCAAAAACAAAAACCCTCACCCAATATGGGGAACGGCAGGGGGCATAAGAGTCCTGGTCTTACCTCCCAACGCGCTGGCTACGCTCATACTCTGCGATCTTCTCCATCTCTTCATTCATCTTCTCAATGTTCTGCCTCCGGCGCTCCTCCCACTCCTGAATGGAAGAGAGAGGGAAGGTACTTGTGTGTCCTGATTTGCCCCCCCAAGAACAGCCTTAATACCACATTGAAAGTAAATGAAAAATGTTTTACTTCAGCTAAACATAAGAGAACAGCACATGCAGTTGTATAATGCAAAAGGAAAGCAAAAAAAGTCTTAATGCAGACACAATACTCAAGTCTCTGATAAAGTCCAAAATAAAACAGCAGTTTCACATCAGACAACGGGCAATGACCAATAAATCCTTAGAAGCAGTTTCTCAAATGCAGACTCGAAGCAAGTACATATGGGAGTGAAGGCATAAGCATCAGTCGTTTGTCACCAACGAAAGCTGACTACTCCTGGTTTTGATTTATAGCCCTGAATCCCCACACAGGAGGTGCTAGGGCAGTTCCCAATTACTTTGGTGTTTCTGGCAGCTATTCCAGCTGAACGGTGTCTTTGCCCTGTTTCCTATCACTTTTCCAGAAACGTGGGCACTTGCAAGACCTCATCTTCTGATTTTAATTTCCCCTCTAACTCTTGAACACTTTGCTGCTCCCCTTCCTCTTCTGAAGATGAGGAATCCCTAATATTGTGATTGATTGATTGATTGATTGATTGATTGGTTGGTTGGTTGGTTGGTTGGTTGATTGATTCCCAGGATATATGGCTGCAGTGGGTCCAGGGCTCAATTTTAACTCCAAAGATCCTTCAAGTGCCATGCAGACTGCCAAATGTAAACAGAGGTAGACTCTCAGTTGTTAAAAAAATAAGGGTGAGGATTGTTTGTTCAATATGTTTTTATTTTTTTGAGGTTCAATAGTACATGGGCAAAAGATGTGGAGAAGATACATCTCAATCAGTAATGAAGCAAGGCTATCCCAAGTTAATACTTAGATGGAAGACCACCAAGGAAAGCCAGGTTCTGTAGGCGATATTTTAGATAAAGGAATGGGCAACCTCCCAGAATATTCCTTGCTTAAGAAAACCCTATAGAAGTATTGGTATTTGTTATAGGTTGCCATAAGTACCTATATACTCAAGTATAAGCCAACCCGAATATAATCCAAGGCACCTAATTTTACCACAAAGAACTGGGAAAGAATATGGCCTTGAGTATAAGTCAAGGGTGGGAAATGCAGCAGCTACTAGTAAATTTCGAAATAAAAATAAATACCAATAAAATTACATGAATTGAAGGCATCAGGAGGTTCAATGTTTTTGAATATTTACATAAAACTGTAATTCAAGATAAGACTGTCCAGCTTTGATTAAGCCATCATTCTAACCTGCTGCAATGTAAATGTGCGAAGGTATCCTTCAAATAGAGTAGAATAATAAATGTAACAATCACAATAACAAATAGAGAAAAATAATAAATGTAATAATAATAGAGTAAAATAATAAATGTAATAAAAATAATTGCTAACATCAATATTCAAGAGGATGACTATGTGATGCCTTTTTATGTGTATATACAACAGAGGAACTCAACTGTAAATAATATGATTAGAAACATAAATTATATATATATATACACACACACACATATATCATATATATACAAGGAGTCCCCAAATTATGAACAAGATTCTGTAGGTTTGTTCTTAAGTTGAATTTGTATATAAATTGGAAATGTTACATTTTTAAGTGTAACTCCGGCCTATATATATAGATAAGCTTTGGATAGCACAGGGAAGGGTTAATAATACCCCTGTGGTATTTCTTTTGCCTCTGTGCCTCTGTTCAAAAGATCTCACCTCACTTTTTGTCCCTATGATCATTGTATTTTGAACAAGGAATGGTGAGAAAGCTTCAGTGGAGACACCTTTTCCCTATGATAATAACTCTTCCAGGAGTGAATTCCCCTTCCGAGGGAGAGATTTTTCTCACTTCCTGTTGTCTCACTCCCGTTCTTAACTAGGAGTCATTTGTAAGTCAGAGGTTTGTGACCTGGGGACTGCCTGGATATATAAATATAAAGAATATTTTTTTTAAAGGACCACCTTTGGTTCATCAGTCAAGCTTTTGCACCCATGGGCTCCTCACCTTGGATCTTCTGTCGGGCCCGGCGTCTCCTGCGGGGCCTCCATGTCCCCCCCGGGGCCTCCGTCCGCGTCCCCCGCCTCCTCCTCGACCTCGTTTGCCGGCCCCCGGTCCAGCTGTGCCCCCCTCTTCCCATTCCGGTTGTTCGGGGGGATATTCCCCTCGCGGGGAGCGGTTGCCCGAATAGAGCACCCCACGGAGGGAACCCTGGCCATGGGGGCTGCTGCGGGGAGGCTTGGCGGAGGCAGGGTGCTTCCTCTCGTTGCTGACCACACGCTTTTCCTGCAAGAAGGACAGGGAAAGAATAGGTGACAGGTTTTTAGATTAACCTTCCAAATGATAAGGCATCATCTCATTTTTTTTTCAGAGCCTTTTGTCAATATTGTCCATATCCGACGGAGGAAATGCAAGCCTGACACATAAAGATTTGTTGTCAGTTAGGACTGGAGCTGTTAGTGTCAACATAGCAAGACTTTGGAAATGCAAAGGATTATCTCTCCAATGCTGGCTGGACAGGTTTTGCTGGGCTGCTCTAGCTGACAAGCTGACAATGGAAGCTCAAATGACACGGGGAGAAAGAGCAAAAGACAACTTCGGGATCTGTTCATATCCCACGTTTGGAATTTAACCATGGGTGAAGAAGGCCTACCACTAATGTACAAGATAGTTTTTGTATGGCACTCCCGAGTATATTTTGCACAGGCCTACCCAGTCAATTTTAAACCATGAAAAATAAATTTATATTATATTTTAACCTTTGTATCATGTATTTTAATGTATGTATTTTACAGTAAAGTGTTTCAATATATGCATTTCATTATTTGTATATCATGATGATGTGTTTTAATTGTGTTGTGTCCTGCCTTGAGCCAAGACGAGAGGCGGGTTATTTATCATATCAGGAGCAAACCAAACAGTTGTACTGTATTTAAAAAAAAATAAAAACCATAAAGTTTGCAAACTTGGCATTCTATTAAATGACCTTTGACTAGTAGCTGGCCACTTGAAGTGCCTCTGGTGTTGCTATAAAAAGTTCCTCCATTGTGCATGTGGTAGGGCTCAGGTTGCATTGTAATAGGTGGCCTGTGGTTTGCTCTTCTCCACACTCACATGTCGTGGATTCCACTTTGTAGCCCCATTTCTTAAGGGTGGCTCTGCATCTCATGGTGCCAGAGCGCAGTCTGTTCAGCGCCTTCCAAGTCGCCCCGTTTTCTGTGTGCCCTGGAGGGAGTCTCACATTTGGTATCAGACATTGATTGAGGTTCTGGGTTTGAGCCTGCCACTTTTGGACTCTCGCTTGCTGGGGTGTTCCAGAGAGTGTCTCTGTAGATCTTAAAAAACTATTTCTTGATTTAGGTCATTGGTGTCCTGGTTGATATCTGAACAGATGGACCAGAGATGTCACTGCCTTGGTCCTTTCACTGTTGGTTGCTACTTCCCAGCGGATGTCACGTGGTGCAATATCGGCTAAACAGTGTAATTTCTCCAGTGGTGTAGGGCGCAGACACCCCGTGATAATACGGCATGTCTCCTTAAGAGCCACATCCACTGTTTTAGCGTGGTGAGATGTGTTCCACACTTCCAAATCCATGACTCCATCTGCGCAAGGGCAGATGTCTTCACTGTATCTGGTTGTGATCCCCAGGTTGTGCCAGTCAGCTTTTGTATGGCATTGTTTCTAGCACCCACTTTTTGCTTGATGTTCAATCAGTAACAAATTATTATTATTATTATTATTATTATTATTATTATTATTACAAAAAAGAACAATTAATATAAAGTCTATCATGAAATAGGCCATTTGAATGATCCAGCAGTTAGATAATTCACCAATAATATAATTCAAATGATTTACTTTTTAAAAGGAAGACTAAACTAGCCCTTCTCTGTTCCTTCCATCTAGATATCCTCTGCTGTTCCACAAGGTTGTCTTTTGTGTATTATTCAGTCTAATGTATTGAATTTATATCACACAATTTCGCAGGCCTTGTGATAATATAATCTGGTTTTTGAATCCAAATTATCTGCTTTGGATTATATTTTTAATCCTTTGCTATGTTTACTGTTTTATTTTGCTTTGATGTGTTTATGTTAAATCTCATTCATTATGTGAACATCTGTACTGATATACTGTCAAAGACTTTCATGGCTGGAATCACTGGGTTGTTGTAGGTTTCTCGGGCTTTATGGCCATGTTCTAAAAGCACTCTCTCCTGATGTTTCACCTGCATCTATGCCAGGCATCCTCAGAGGTTTTGAGGTCTGTTGGAAACTAGGAAAATGAAGTTTATATATCTGTGGAAAGTCCAGGTGGGAGAAAGAACTCTTGTCTGTTGGAGGTAGGTGTTAATGTTTCAATTGGCCACCTTGATTAGCATTTGATGTCCTGACAGTTTTTAGATGTGCCTTGTTCCTGCCTGGGGGAATCCTTTATTGAGAGGTGATTAGTTGTTCCTGATTGTTTCTTGTCTGAAGTTTGAGTTTTATTCTTTATTTACTTTATTTACTTTTTGTTCTTTAATTTTAGAGATTTTTAATACTGGTGGCCAGATTTTGTTCATTTTCATGGTTTCTGTTGAAATTCTCCACACGCTTGTGGATTTCACTGGCTTCTCCACAGATATATAAATCCAATTTTTCTAGTTTCCAACAGACCTCACAACCTCTGAAGATGCCTGCCATAAATGCAGGCGAAACATCAGGAGAGAATGCTTCTAGAACATGGCCATACAGCATGAAAAACCTACAACTGTGTATTGATATAGTCCTCTTACAATAACTACACAATCTAACTCAGGCATGGGTAAACTTCGGCCCTCCAGGTGTTTTGGACTTCAACTTCCAATAGGCAGTTAGGAATTGTGGGGGTTCAAGTTCAAAACACCTGGAGGGCCAAAATTTGCCCATGTCTGATCTAACTGAATATGGAGCATTTAAGGATTTACAATTCTCCTTCCAAATCCATGACTCCAACAATGCCTGCCGTGAATAACAACAACAGAACCATACCCATCAAAATACACATTGAACCAACTATACCATTAAAACAAACATATGCACATTAATAATAAATGAAAAGGAAAATACCAAAAAATCCAGCACATCCATTTTAAAATAATTTTCCACTGCAGACAGACCATGACTAAAGGTTCTTTGCCAGCCAGAAGGAAAACAAGAAGATTGGTCAATACTCCTTTCAATTTGGAGTTTCGTCATCTGGGAGCAACCACCAAGAACCACTCTTTTGTATCTGCACAAAACATACTTTTGAAAGTGGGGAGACTGACAGAAAAGCCCATCCCACAGATCTCAAAGGCCAGCAAGGCTTATATAAATAAACACAATCTTTGAAATAATCTGGACCAAGCCATGTCTGATTTTATAAAAGGAGCTGCCAGCATTTAAGACAGAACTGAAGCCCTGTTTCTTCCAGGAAACCAACCCACTCAGTTTGAAAAGCTGGATTTTAAATGTACACTCTCTTCGTATTTCAATATATGTTGATTTATTTTAATTCTTATACTATGTATTTTAATATATGTATTTTGGGATGATGTGCTCTAATGTATCTATTTAATGTTACTAATTGTATGGCGGTGTGATTTAATTGTGCTGCACCCTGCCTCAAACCGTGAGAAGAGGCAGGTAACAATCATCATCATTATTATTTGATACAAGATTAGTACACAGCAAACAAAATCACTATGTTGGCTTTTGTATTCAATCATACGTTGGACACTTCCCCAGTGTCTAGGCCTACGTGATGTATTGCAAATCAGGCATGCAGATTTGAGTAGGGTGGCCTTTTGCATCTGATAGATGGTAATTTTGTCAGCTCTGATTGTTTTTAAGTGCAGGTTAAAGTCTTTAGGCACTGCAGCCAGTGTGTCGGTCACCCTTGGGACAACCTTGACTGGCTTTTGCCTGAGTCTTTGCAGTTCTATCTTTAAATCCTCATATTGTGTATGCTTTTCCAGTTGCTTCTGTTCAATTTTGCTGTCGCCTGAGATTGCAACATCAACAATCCATACCTGGTGTTTTTCCACGATTGTGAGGTCAGGAGTATTGTGCTCCAAAACTCTGTCAGTCTGAATTCGGAAGTCCCAAGTAGTCTGACATGTTCATTTTCTGTAACTTTTTCAGGCTTGTGATGCCACCAGTTTTTTGTCGCAGGCAGATGATATTGAATCATCTGAGCAACGGTGTTATGCCTCTGCTTGTGGTCTGTCTGCACGATCTCCTTGCACCAGCTGAGGATGTGATCTATTGTTTCATCTGCTTCCTTGCAGAGTCTACACTTGGGATCTGTCATCAACTTTTCAGTTCTGGCTTTGATGGCACTGGTTCTAATGGCTTGTTCTTGGACTGCCAGAATCAGGCCCTCCGTCTCCTTTTTCAAAGTTCCGTTTGTGAGCCATATCCATGTTTTCTCCTTGTCAATTTTGCTCTCAATTTTTCCCAGGAACTGTCCACAGAGAGCCTTCTTTATCCAGTTTTCTCTTCTGCTCTGGATTGTATTTTTACCGTGTTCCCTCTTTGTATTTTGCACTTTAAGCAGCTTTCTACTATTGACCTCCATTAATGTTGATTATTACTATTGCTACTGCTATTACTATTACTACTATTATCATCATCATCATCACTACTATTACTACCATGACAGAACTGCACCCAAAAATGGATTGGAAGCAACTAAAACTTTTGCAACACAAGAATTATACACTGCAAATCAACATAATGTGGTGGCTTTGAATGTTGGGCTAGGATTTAGGAAGACCAGGATTCAAACCCAGTTCAACCACGGATAAACAATGAATGGCTTCAAAAACTTACTGGTTAACATGGAAACACACTGAGCCATGGGTAAGTCACCCCCATTAAGCCTTAGAGCAGTGGTTCTCAACCTGGGGGTCGGGACCCCTGGAGGGGTCACGAGGGAGTGTCAGAGGGGTCACTAAGGACCATCAGAAAACAGTATTTTCTGTTGGTCATGGGGGTTCCATGTGGGAAGTTTGGCCCAATTCTATCATTGGTGGGGTTCAGAATGCTTTTTGATTGTAGGTGAACTATAAATCCCAGCAACTAAAACTCTCAAAATGTCAAGGACTATTTTCCCCAGACTCCACCAGTGCTCACATTTGGTCATATTGAGTGTTCGTGCCAAGTTTAGTCCAGTTCCATCATTGTTTGAGTCCACAATGGTCTCTGGGTGTAGGCAAACTACAACTCCAAAACTCAAGGTCAATGCCCACCAAACCCCTCCAGTATTTTCTGTTGGTCATGGGAGTTCTGTGTGCCAAGTTTGGCCCAATTCCATCATTGGTGGAGTTCAAAATGCTCTTTGATTGCAGGTGAACTATAAATCCCACCAACTACAACCCCAAATGGCAAAATCAACCCCGCCCCCCAACCCCACCAGTATTCAAATTTGGGCATATCAGTCCAGTGAATGAAAATACATATCCATATCAGATATTTACATTATGATTCATAACAGTAGCAAAATGACAGTTATGAAGTAGCAACGAAAATAATTTTATGGTTGGGGGTCACCACAACATGCAGAATTGTATTAATGGGTCACAGCATGAGGAAGGTTGAGAACCACTGCCTTAGAGCAATGGTTCTCAACCTGTGGATCGCGACCCCTTTGGGGGTCGAATGACAATTCACAGGATTCACATAAGACCATTGGAAAACACACATTTCTGTTGGTCTTAGGAACCAAAACACCACTCACTTTTCGCTACCCCCTTCGCTTCCCAGAGGCCTCTTCTTCCTCGGAGGGAGGTAGTGATGTCACTCAGCCCCATCCCCTCCATTTTAGGAAGAAGAGACAGGAGCAACAGAGATGAGGTTTGCTTTGGAGCCAAGAGGGGGGAGGAGGAGTTGGAGGTGAAAAGGGAGAAGGTGAGAGAGCCACTGTACACCAGACTCTACTGTGGCCAAAGAACAGTGTTGCACTGGCTTTGCCTCCTCTACAAATAGACATATCCTTTGATGGACTGCTCACCTCCTGTGATAGCAAGACCTGGACCGTCAGAGTTGGGGAGTCCAGCTCCCCTCGCCTCCTCTCTGGCACAATGGCATCCCCTTCGGCAGCCCGAGGTCGTCGCCCTCCGGTCACAGCAATGCCTTCCTGCTCTGCTTTCTTCCGGTCTTCTTCAATCTCCTATAAGTGGGGAAAGGAATCAAGTGTGTCATAACCAAGCTCCTCTCCCATGGAAAACCCTAACCTTTTCCCAAGAACATCCATATCCCCAGACATAGTTCTTCCCTGTAAGCCCTCCTACACTGTGATTGGCCAGCTTCCCAGCCAAGGGGAGGGCTGTTTCTGAGACTCCAAGCAGGGAAGGGGAGAGCAGGCATGATCAGTGCATGACAGCGTGGTGCACATGTGTGGGTGAGGGAGACCGTGCAAAGTTGGAGGGAGGCTCGTACCAGCAAGTCCCTTTAAGGCATGGGGGTTCTGTGTGGGAGTTTGGTGGGGTTCAGAATGCTCTGATTGTAGGTGAACTATAAATCCCAGAAACTACAACTCCCAAATGTCAAGGTCTATTTTCCCCAAACTCCACCAGTGTTCATATTTCGGCATATGGAGTATCCATACCAAGTTTGGCCCAGACCCACCATTGTTTGAGTCCACAGTGCTCTCTGGATTTAAATTAATTACAACTCCAAAACTCAAGGTCAGTGCCCACCAAATCCTTCCAGTATTTTCTGTTGGTCATGGGAGTTCTGTGTGCCAAGTTTGGTTCAATTCCATCATTGGTGGAGTTCATAATGCTCTTTGATTGTAGGTGAACTATAAATCCCAGCAACTACAATTCCCAAATCACAAAATCAATCCTCCAAATCCCACCAGTATTCAAATTTGGGTGTATCGGGTATTTGTGCCAAATTTGGTCCAGTGAAAGAAAATCCATCCTCCATATCATATAATTGCAGGCGAGGGAGACTGCAATTATACATAGGGAAGCATAGGGAAAAGTTTATTAATCTGCCAAACTGAATAAAACATTGCTTTTTTAAAAAGTGTCATTCATGTATTCTATACCAGATACTCCTGTGTCAGTGCACACACCAGGAAGATTATATATAGTCAGCCTTTACAATTCCACAGAATTCAACCACAGTAGCAGTCTTAATATAACTTGGCACTGCGTCATTTCCTAAAATGTCTGCCTGGGAAACTCGACTATATAGAAGTCTGGGTGGCCCAACTTTGCCGGAGGCAAAGTAGCTGACCCAGTCTCAGGTTTTGGTAGATTTGGCTTTTCTTTTCCTCCCTGTAGAGGATCCAGGTCACAGGGTAGTCCAGCATCAGCTGACCCTTTGGCCACAGCACCTGCGGACGTGCCTGTCCATGTGCCACGCTAATTAGCTTAAGGAGTCTCATCTTCTTTGCCATGCACACACTCCCAACAGACACACAGGCCAGCTGTGTATCCTGATTCATAGGGTACAAAGAACAGCCAGGTGCCCCCATCACAGAACTCAAGAGAATTCTAGAGTTGGACGAGACCCCAAGGGCCATCCAGTCCAACCCTGTTCCACCAAGCAGGAACACCCAATCAAAACACATCTGATAGATGGCCATCCAGCTGTTAGGGAACCCTTTTTGTTGGGGAAAACTACCCTAAAATATAGCAGAGAATTCAAAAATACAAACAGGATACAAAAGTTGAGCATTAGCTCATTAGCAAGCAAAGCGCAAAGTGCAATGTGATGTGATTGCAAAGGACTCAGAGCTTAGGAGGCAAACATGCAGAGTCCAATCTTTTAAAAATCACAAAAGGTTTATTTACAATGATAAGAAATGACTGCATTTCTTAATAATCAATATCTGGGTCGGGGCTACTCTAACACTTAAGGTGTCAAGAGAGGGAAAAACTCAATCACTGCATCTTTCCTGACACACAAGCAGAGAGAGATCTCAAAGCACACAGCACATACTCCCCATACTAAAGTGTAAGAAGTCAGATCCAAAAAGCTTGTAATAGAAAAGTATACATTTTAAATAACCAATTAGAATGAGATCAAAAACAGAGAGGAGAGAACAAACAGATACATTCCCAACTGTCATTCAGAAGACATGGGGGAAGAGAAACTTCGAGACTATACTAAACTGTTCCTCATTGAGGACTTGAGACTTGGGCAAGTGGTTAGATAGGTTTTCCCCGACATTAAATCCAGTTGTGTCCGACTCTGGGTTGTGGTGCTCATCTCAATTTCTAAGCTGAAGAGCCGGCATTGTCCGTAGATACCTCCAAGGTCATGTGGCCGGCATGACTACATGGAGCGCCGTTACCTTCCCGCCAGGGCGGTACCTATTGATCTACTCACATTTGCATGTTTTTGAACTGCTAGGTTGGCAAAAGCTGGGGCTGACAGTGGAAGCTCATGCTGCTCCCCAGATTCAAACCTGCGACCTTTTGGTCAACAACCTCAGCAGCTCAGCGCTTTAACACACTGTGCCACCAGAGACTCCCTGGGCATGTGGGGTTGAATTCTAACACCAGCCTCTACTCACCACTCCCTTGGCCAAATTCTGCCCCTTCTCCCTGAAGCAGTAGCATCAACCAAGTAACAACATCAGAAGGCATGGCAGCAAAACAACTACAGTGTTCTCTCACTTATTGCGGGGGTTCCGTTCCAGGACCCCCTGCCATTAGTGAAAATCCACAAAGTAGAGATGCCATATTAATTTTAATATTTATACATTATTTTATATTTTTATATATTATTTTCTTACCCGCACTTCCTTACCCGCCTCCCAGCCCATCCCAAGGGCACCTGCTTGCCTCCCTGACCTCCACAGAGCCTCCCGAGCCATGCAGGCAGAAACAGGCCAGGGAAGCAGGCTTTCCCCACCACATCTCAGGCCGCCACACTTCTGGGGTCTGTGGAGGCCAGGGAGGCAGACTTTCCCCGCCATGCTTCAGGCTGCCACACTTCCAGGGTCCCTGGCCTCCCTGGCCTCCACTGGACGTAAATATTTAATTTTTTTATTAATATTTTCAAAAACCTGCGAAACAGCGAGTCCGCTAAAAGCGAACCGCGAAATAGCAAGGAAACACTGTCTACATTTTTTGTGCAGCATATCTGCAGACATTTATTATTTTTATACAAATATCCTGGCAGTTAGACATAGTTGTAAAGACATTTTTGTACACCCAGCTTAGATGTACTGTATCAATATACATACATGATAAATTCTATGCTAAATCGCTTTTCAACCCTCCCAATGCTCACACGCTCTGTAGTCATTATTAGTCAATTCCAATTACAGGTTGAAGGGTGTGGCTTCATCTGCACATACAAGTACACCCTGTTGTTTTGTTGACGCTTTATTTTTGGGTCAAGTTTTGTGGCATTAAAAGAGATTAAGATTTCCCCTTAACATGAAGTCTAACCGCGTCCAACTCTGGTGGGTGGTACTCATCTCCATTTCTAAGCCAAAGAGCCGGTGTTGCCCGTAGACACTTCCAAGGTCATGTGGCCAGCATGACCGCATGGACCACCGTTACATTCCCGCTGGAGTGGTACCTATTGATCTACCCACATTTGCATGTTTACGAACTGCTAGGTTGAAACCGCAGGGGTGAGAAAGGCGGTATATAAATACTGTAAATAAATAAATAAATTGTCAGAAGCTGAGGCTAACAGCAGGAGCTCACCCCACTCCCCAGATTCGAACCACCGACTTTTATTTATTTATTTACAGTATTTCTATCACGTCTTTCTCAGCCCGAAGGCGACTCAATCAGCAAGTTCAGCAGCTCAGCGGTTTAACCCGCTGCACCACCGGGGGACTCCCTATTTACATTATGTAAATGTTAAATTACTTCTTTGTTTACTTAGCCTTGAGCCAAGGCAGTTACAGCTGTATCAAACTGCATCCATTCTACAATGTAGCTGTACTTTTCAGACAGCAAACAAAAACTATAGCATGTAACAAAGTTTGAAAAAAAATCTGTTCCTGGTTTGATAGTGATATTTGCTGTATAATTGGGTGATACTTACTTTCGAAAGTAGTTGTTATGCTCCAGAAACTTTGTTTTTGTGGCTGCAACAAACTAGGTTAAATTGGTTGAGACTCTATGAGATAGTCATTGAAAAACTATAGCAAAAATGTGCTATAGAAGGATGTCCTACCCGCAAAAAGAAAGTTTTGGGCAGTTTAATAAACTTTTTCCATGCTTTTATGACAGGACCAATTAGGAAATGGCATTTATAACCCAGGAGCAAAAATAGTGCTATTATAAAGTCATTCTCCCACTCCATGGCTTGAGTTCCTCCATGCTGTACTCTAAGCATGGGCCAACTTTGGCCTTTTGGGTGTTTTGGACTGCAACTCCCACCATTCCTAACAGCCTCAGGCCCTTTCCTTTACCCCCTCAGCCGCTTAAGCGGCTGAGGGGGAAAAGGAAGGGGCCTGAGGCTGTTAGGAATGGTGGGAGTTGCAGTCCAAAACACCCAAAAGGCCAAAGTTGGCCCATGCCTGGAGTGCACAATGAGAAGGGTTTCGTTCCCACTTGTATCCTTATTTCAGGCATCTATCGCTCACCTGATAGCGCTTGATCAGCGCCTGGTTCTTGCGCCGCAGCGCCTCGATGCGCTTGTCCAGCTCCGCATCCTTCTCCTCCTTCGACTTCAGGTCCAAAGAAGCCGACTGCAGAAGAAGGCAGAAAGGAAATAATGTGGCAACCCATGCAAACACCCAAACCCTGCCAGAGGTGCGTCTACACTGAGGAATGAATGCAATGTGACACCACTTTAGCTGCCTTTTCTGAATGCAATGGAATCCTGGGTGTGGTAGCAAATCACTGACATATGATGCATGCCGTTTCACAATGCAGGTGAATTGCCTTCAGTTCAATCTGCATTACTTGGCAGGATTTAGAATCCTAGAATTATTGACTTGGAAGAGACCTCGTGGGCCATCCAGTCCAACCCCCTGCCAAGAAGCAAGAAATCACATTCAAAGCACCCCCAACCGATGGCCATCCAGACTCTCCATAAAAGCCTCCAAAGAAGGAGCCTCCACCACACTCCAGAGCAGAGAGTTCCACTGCTGAACAGCTCTCACTGTTAGGAAGTTCTTCCTCATGTTCAAATGGAATCTCCTTTTCTGTAGTTTGAAGCCATTGTTCCGCATCCTAGTCTCCAGAGAAGCAGAAAACAAGCTTGCTCCCTCCTCCCTATGACTTCCCCTCACACATTTATACATGGTCCTCTTCATATCTCCTCTCAGCCTTCTCTTCTGCAGGCTAAACATGCCCAGCTCTTTAAGCCGCTCCTCATAGGGATTGTTCTGCAGACCCTTGACCATTTGAGTCGCCCTCCTCTGGACACATCCCAGCTTAGGGCCCTTCCACACAGCCCTACGTCGCAGAATATCATGGCAGAAAATCCCAAAATATCTGCTTTCAACAGATAAACCAGTTCAAAGCAGATATTGTGGATATTCTGGGATATAAGGCTGTGTGGATGGGCCCTTAGAGTCAACATCTCCCTTCAATTGCGGTGCCCAGAATTGTACTGCCAAAGAGTCCCCAAAGTCCCCCATGAACAAAATCTGGCTAAAAACCTCTAAAATCATAACAGTAAATAAAGAATGACACTCAAAAACAGGGGAAATTCCAAACAAGGTTCAACCAGGGCCAACTAATCATCTCCCAACAAAGGATTCCACCAGGCAGGAAGCAGCCATACCTTGAAACTGCTAGGCCATTCAATGTGGCCAGCTGAAACATTCACAGTTGCCTCCAACAAGCATCTTATTTTTAGAGGTTTTTAAAAATACTGGTAGCCAGATTTTGTTAATTTTCATCGTTTCCTCCTTTCTGTTGAAATTGTCCACATGTTTGTGGAATTCAGTGGCTTCTCTGTGTAGTCTAACAACCAGTAATGTGCCGCACTTTGAAGCTGCAAGGCCGTTCAATGGTAATCGAGGTGGCCAATTGAAACATTCACAGTTGCCTCCAACAGACAAGAGTTCTTTCTCCCACCCTGGACATTATTTCAGAGATATAGAACACCCCATTTGTTTGGGAAAGGCCGCATTTGATGTTCCCTATGTAGACTTGTACACAGCTGCACAGGATAAATCAGGACAGTGAATAAAAAAGAACAGTCAAATATAACAGGGGAATTCCTGACAGGAAACAATCAGAGTCAGCTAACTCCTTCCAACAAAGGATTCCTCCAGGCAGGAAGCAGCCAGACCTTGAAACTGCTAGGCCATTAAATGCTAATCATGGTGGCCAATTGAAACATTCACACTTGCCTCTAACAAGTATCTTAATTTTTTTTTAATACTGGTAGCCAGATTTTGTATATTTTCATGGTTTCCTCCTTTCTGTTGAAATTGTCCACATGCTTGTGGAATTCAATGGCTTCTCTGTGTAGTCTAACAACCAGCAACCTGCCAGGCTTTGAAGCTGCAAGGCCATTCAATGCTAATCAAGGTGGCCAATTGAAACATTCACAGTTGCCTCCAACAGACAAGAGTTCTTTCTCCCACCCTGGACATCATTCCACAGATATATAAACCCCACTTGCCTAGTTTCCAACAGACCTCACAACGTCTGAGGATGCCTGCCATAGATGTGGGCAAAACATCAGGAGGGAATGCTTCTGGAACATAGCCATACAGCCTAGAAAACCCACAGCAACCCAAACTGACATTCTTACTTCTGGATGTACGAAGACAACAATGCCAGCTTTGAGGGATGATGCTAAGTCAGAACAGTTAAAAAAGAGCAGCACTCAGAAAACAGGGGCATTCCAGACAGGAAACAATCATGATCAGCTAACACATCCCAAAAAAAGTGGAGCCCCCGGTGGCGCAGTGGGTTAAACCTCTGTGCCGGCAGGTTCGAATCAAGGGAGAGGCAGATGAGCTCCCTCTATCAGCTCCAGCTCCTCATGCGGGGACATGACAGAAGCCTCCCACAAGGATGATAAAAACATCAAATCATCTGGGCGTCCCCTGGGCAACGTCCTTGCAGATGGCCAATTCTCTCATACCAGAAGTGACTTGCAGTTTCTCAAGTCACTCCTGACATGATTTTTAAAAATCCCAAAAAAGGATTCCCCCCCAGGCAGGAAGCAGCCAGTCTTTGAAGCTGCAAGGCTATTTAATGCTAATCAAGGTAGCCAGAGTGCTTGCTCCCACCCTGGATATTATTCCACAGATATATAAACCCAATTTTCCTAGTTTCCAACAGACCTCACAACCTCTGAGGATGCCTGCCATAGATGCAGGCGAAACGTCAGGAGAGAATGCTTCTGGGACACAGACAAACTCATAACAACCCATGAAAGCCTTAGACAATACAGGAGTCGCCAAAGTGCCAAACTCCAGGACGCCATTGCGTTGATTAAAGCGGTGTCAAAGTGCATTAAACCTGCAGCGTGGGTGCAATTTCCCTGGTCTTGTCTTGGCCTTGAGGGCAAAGCTCAGAGGGCAGCCTTCCCTTGGAAAGCCTCCTCCTCAAACAAGGCTCTTTTGGAGGGCGAAGCTGAGCCAAGTCTGAACCAAAACAAAGTCAATTCCCCACCAAGATCCCTTTCCCTCCTTACCATCTTTTCCACCCGCGAAAGGGAGCATCCAGGTCTGCAATGGAAAGGGAAGCAGAGTCAGAAGCAATGCATGGAAGGGTTTCTTAAGGAGTGGGGGGGGGGGAGAAAAGGAGACCAATTTCCCCCAATTGCCCTCCAATCCTTGCTCTTTCTGCCCTTACCTGCCCCCGCCCTGCAAGAGAAACAGAGCCTCGGATTAACCCCCCCCCCCCCTTTCCTCTCTGGATCCTCCCTCCTTCTCCCCACGTGGCCTCCGTTTCCGCTTCCTTCCCCACCGAAGAGGAGGAGACTGGCACTGAGGTCACGGGTGCATCTGCACCGTCGAATTAACGCAGTTCCATCCCGCTGCAATGTCTAACTCTCCATCTTCGGGGTTGTCTCTGCCCTCTTTGGCAGAAAAAGGCAACTATGTAACACGAGTTTGTGTTCCAGTTTCCATGTCATTTCCCAATTGGTTCTATCAACAAAAACACATAGGAAAAGTTGAGTTTTTGTAGGTTTTTTGGCCTGCGTGGACATGTTCTAGAAGCATTCTCTCCTGACGTTTCGCCTGCATCTGTGGCAAGCACCCTCAGAGATTGGGAGGTTTCCCCCAGGCAGCAACCAGCCAGGCTTTGAAACTGCAAGGATATTCAATGCAGTTGCGGGGAGAAGGGTGGAGTATAAATATAGGAAATAAATAAAATAAAAATGATCAAGGTGGCAAGTTGCAACATTCACACTTAGAATCGGAGTTGGAAAAGACGTTGTGGGCCATCCAGTCCAACCCCCTGCCAAGAAGTAGGAAAATTGCATTCAAAGCACCCCCGACAGATGGCCATCCAGCCTCTGTTTAAGAGCCTCCAAAGAAGGAGCCTCTGCCACACTCCGGGGCAGAGAGTTCCACTGTTGAACAAAGCACCCCCATCCAGCCTGTTTAAAAGCCTCCAAAGAAGGAGCCTCTACCACATTCCGGGGCAGAGAGTTCCACTGCTGAACAACTCTCATCATTAGGAAATTCTTTCTCATATTCAGGTGGAATCTACTTTCTTATAGTTTGAAGCCACTGTTCTATGTCGTAGTCTCCAGGGCAGCAGAAAACAAGCCTAATCCTTCCTCCCTATGACTTCCCCACACATATTTATCCATGGCCCTCATCATGTCTCCTCTCAGTCTTCTCTTCTTCAGGCTAAACATGCCCAGCTCTTTAAGCCGCTCCTCATAGGGCTTGTTCTCCAGACCCTTGATCATTTTAGTCACCCTCCTCTGGACACATTCCAGCTTGTCAATATCTCTCAGATCAGCACTCAGAAAACAAGGGAATTGCAGAACAAGAAACAATTAGGGCCAGCTAACACCTCTCAACAAAGGATCCACCATGCAGCAACCAGCCAGGCTTTGAAGTTGCAAGGCTATTCTATGCTAATCAAGGTGGTCAGTGGCAACATTGACCTCAGGCAGAGAAGAGTTCTTTCTCCCACCCTGGACATTATTCCACAGATATATTAACCCCTCACTTGCCTAGTTTTTAACAAACCTCACAACCTCTGAGTTTGCCTGCCAGAGATGCAGGTGAAATGTCAGGAGAGAATGCTTCTGGAACATCGCCATACCGCCCGAAAAACCTACAACAACCCAGTGATTCCGGCCATGAAAGCCTTCGACAAAATATTTGAAAAGTTTCTTAAACTGCTTAGGCTTTGTTTCTTCAGGAGTATCTTGCTATAACACATTTTGCTATCGTTTTTCAATGACCTTGGGCCCTTCCGCACAGCCCTATATCCCAGATTATCAAGGCAGAAAGTCCCACATTTACCTGTTTTGAACTGAAATCTATAGCAGTGTGGACTCAATTAAAAGGCAGATATTGTGGGATTTTCTGCCTTGATATTCAGGGATATAGAACTGTGTGGAAGGACCCTGTCTCATTGAGTCTCAACCAATTCAACATAGGGTTGCTGTGAGTTTTCTAGGCTGTATGGCCATGTTCCTGAAGCAATTTTTCCTGACGTTTCACCCACATCTATGGCAGGCATCCTCAGAAGTTGTGAGGTCTGTTCAAAACTAGGCAGGTGGGGTTTATATACCTGTGGAATGTCCAGGGTGGGAGAAAGAACTCTTCTCTGCCTGAGGCAAGTGTGAATGTTACCATTGACAACCTTGATTAGCATAGAATAGCCTTGCATCTTCAACGCCTGGCTGGTTGCTGCGTGGCGGTGGTCCTTTGTTGGGACTTGGGAGGTGTTAGCTGGCCCTGATTGTTTTGTGTCTGGAATTCCCCTGTTTTCTGAGTGCTGCTCTTTATTTACTGTCCTGATTGTAGAGTTTTTTGTAATACTGGTAGCCAGATTTTGTTCAGTTTCATGGTTTCCTCCTTTCTGTTGAAATTGTCCACATGCTTGTGGGTTTAAATGTCTTCTCTGTGTAGTCTGACATGGTGGTTGTGAGAATGGTCCAGCATTTCTGTTTTCTCAAATAACATGCTGTGTCCAGGTTGGTTCCTCAGGTGCTCTGCTATGGCTGATTTCTCTGGTTGAAATAGTCTGCAGTGCCTTTCATGTTCCTTGATTCATGTTTGGACAATGTTGCTGCGTTTGAGGGTCTCTATGTAAGCTTGTCCACAGCTGCACGGTATACGGTAGACCTTAATGTGATCCTATGAGCTTGCTATGATTGAGTGGAGATTTAAAACTTGGTCTCTGGAGTCTTGGACCCCCCTCCCCTTTACACTGATCAGTTAGTCAGAGAAGCAGAGAGTGTTTGAGGATGGGGACATCCTTAGGGATACCGAGGTGCTTGTTTATAAAGCTATTGTCCTCCCAACCCTGCTATACGCCTGTGAAACATGGACTGTCTACAGACGTCACATGCAACTTCTAGAATGACTCCATCAGTGTTGCCTCTTGCAAATCTCTTGGGAAAACGGATGATTAAATGTCAGCATGCTGGAAGAAGCAAAGACCACCAGCACTGAAGCGATGGTCCTTCATTATCAACTCCGCTGGGCTGGCCATGTTGTCCGGATACCCGATCATCGTCTCCCAAAGCAGTCGGTCTACTCCGAACTCAAGAACGGAAAACGGAATGTTAGTGGGCAGAAAAAGATATTTAAATATGGGCTCAAGCCAACCTTAAAAACGCTGGCATAGACACTGATAACTGGGAATCCCTGGCCTTTGAGCGCTCCAGCTGGAGCTCAGTTGTGACTAGCAGTGCTGCAGAATTGGAAGAGGTATGAATGGAGGGCAAAAGAGAGAAAGGTGCCAAGAGGAAGATGTGTCAAGCCAGCCCTAACTGTGACAGCCTTCCACCTGGAAAACGATGCTCTCACTGGAGGAGAACATGTGGGTCAAGAATAGGGCTCCACAGTCACTTACGTACCCAACCACCAAGACACTTGGAAGGCCATCATACTCAGACAAGGAGGGATCACCTAAGTAAGTAAGTACTTACTTACTTACTTAGGTGATCCCTCGTTGTCCGAGTAGGATTGTCTTCCAAGATCAGTGTAATGGTGGTGGGTCTGTAGGTGACTGTGGAGCCCTATTCTTGATCTGCATCTTTTCCCACATTGGTTTCCAGGTGGAAGGTGGTCTCTGTCGGGGTTGGCTTGATGCGCCTTCCTCTTGGCAAATTTTTCTCTTTCGCCCTCCATTCGTGCCTCTTCAAATTCTACAGCACTGCTGATCACAGCTGACCTCCAACTGGGAATGCTCAAGGGCCAGGGCTTCCCAGTTCTCAGCGTCTGAGTTTAAGTAAGTAAAGTAAAGTAAAGTAAATAAGATATATAGTAGACTCCTACAGAAGTTAGAGGATCCTTATTGTCCTTTGCTGAACGGCACATTTGTTGTATTTGCATGGTTTCCTCTTTTCTGTTGAAATTGTCCAAACATGAAACCTGAGAAGATTAAAGACCTTGCAAAATTGCAACTCCCAGGATTCTATAGCCTTAAGCTATGGCAGTTAAAGTGGTGTAAAACTGCATTAATTCTACAGTGTAGGCTCAGAAGAGGTTGTTATGAGAACTATTCCAGACTATCTCAAGGTGTAGTTGCCCCCCTGTACCACTAGATGGCAGCATCAGATGGTGAGGAGGAAGCCTGAACTAGGGTTCTGGGCAAAAGCAAGAGACCAATTTGGGGAAATGGGTTTATAGGGGAATGGACTACCTGGAGAGCCTATTGTTTTTGTCCTGAACAAATCCTTCTACTAATTCCTGGCCTGTTTACAATGTGACTTCTGCAGAACCACAACAGTGGAAAAGTCTCCAGGTCAGCCAAGATCTCTCAAGGTAGCTCCCACCTGATTCTGCAAAGGAGCTTCATTGGAAATAGAGTCAAGTCCTCTTCTCTAGTGGGGACCCAAATTGCAATGTCAAGACACAAATGGTGGACAATGGAAGCTGGCAATTTATTGGAACTCTTTATTGGGGACTTTCCTGATTACACTTGCTTCTTTGAGATGTTATGATGCTAGAGTTGGAAGCATCCTTCAAGAGTAATAGGATTCCTTCCACATAAGAAGTGATTGACTGGGGCAGGATTAAGCATTTAAGACACATGTATTTATCCTTTTTTCAGGGAGTGTGTGTTTGAGTGAGAAAAGTAGATATTCATCCACAGTGGCTGGATCTACACTGCCACATAAACCAGTTTTTTAATCTAGATTATTTTTGGACTATATGTGTCTACATTACCATATAGTCCAGTTCAAATCAGATAATCAGGCTTCAGAAGCTGGATTATATGGCAATGCAGTTGTGGCCAGTGTTGGCTTTCTTGCAATGGTACCTCCATGTCCTCGCGACACTGAATGTACTCTAGATTCTAATTCAGGCTTTAAATTATTATTATTATTATTATTATTATTATTATTATTATTATTATTATTTTACTGATACAAAAACACACTATGTCACAGCAAACGAGATCTATATCACAAAATCACAAGTTGAACACTTCCCAAGCGTCTAGGACTGTGTGATGTATTTTCGAATGATGCGCGCAGATCCAAGTAAGGTGGCCTTTTGCAGTTGACATTTTGTCAATGTTTATTGTTTCCAAATGCCAGCTGAGATCTTTTGGCACGGCACCCAGTGTGCCAAGGACGACCTGTACTGGTTTATGCCAGAGACTTTGCAGTTCGATTTTGAGGTACTGATAACAGCTGAGTTTTTCCTGTTGTTTTTCCTCAATGCGACTGTCACCTGGAATGCCAACATCAATAATG